TGGTTAACTCTGGGGAAGCCAGAGTTTTTGGAATAAACTGATATCCTTGATTGGCTGTCGAAAGTCCTAACAGGATATTGGAATGACCAAAGTAATCTCAATCTAGGAGCAACCCTCCAACACGGAGATGCTACTTTTGAGTGCAGAGCTTGGAGAGGAGTGGTGAGAGAGGATGGGAGACTTGCCAAGTCTATCGCATTAGCAGAATCACAGACTTGTTGTGAATTGCCAATTCACAGCAGATTGCCTTCAGATTCCTTGCCATCCTGAAATAATCTGCATAGAGCCTGAAAACACTTAAATTTCAGTACTTACTTTGATGAAGTTGTCCAGTTCTGTATATTATCAGTCACTTAATACATTCCAGCATCTAAAGAATTATTTATATTTTACATTACAAAAGAGTTCCATCTGGCAACATTTTACTTGATCTGGGGAATTTGTAATGATTTAGGCATTAGAATTGGCCAAGAATTCTCAACTGCTGACCCTTGGGTTTAATCTTCAGAAACCATCAAGGCTACTAAATATTTTAAAACCTTTTTAAGCAACTAACAGACTTTTCATTCATTAGAAATTAACATAGTCACATAAATCATTCAAAAAATACTTCAAATAAATGCAAGTTGAACAGGCAACTTAAGCTAAATGTTCTGAAAATGGCTAGTTTTTCCAGTAAATTCATTAGTGGCAGTTTTACAGAAATTCAAATAAAGGACAAGATTTCATTTGAATGCCATTTTTTTTCACCATTTAGCACAGTGCAGGAAAAGCAGTTATTCCATCTACAGATTTGTGTTGAAAGCAGCCAGAATTGATCTCTTGATTGATCCCTTGGGAGCTAAAACTCCTGTTTTTGAAAGATTTTAAAGAACATCATGTTTGATTTACAGAGAAGTACTTGCATCAAAAGTGGATAAGAAATTCAAATATCTGAGATTTTTAAAAATAAGATAATGGTTATTGAATCTATATTTAAATATTGTTTATAAATTAGGATAGGCTTTGGCATGACTGGGAGATTTTCCATTTTAGGTTTGAGTTTCTTTGAAAAATAAAGCTTTGTAGAAGTATGTGTAAGTAAATTATTACCAAACATTCAGAAACATCTGCAAGAACTGAGGGTGGAATTTATTTTGTTGTTTAAATTACCTGAAAACTTTGCTTTTCTGAATCATAGGTATGAATATGTTTCAATACCTGTCTTTGAGAACATCTGGAATCAGATGTTTTGAGTTGGGTAGTTTTTAGAAGCTGTGTTAACTCTGGTTATCCAAGGCGTCATTCAGTGGCTGCTTCAGTAGCCGTCTTTTTAAGTAGCCCTGCCTTTAAGAGAGAACAAATCAATTTCTTAATGGACTAGTGTATCGTATAGCAATCGATTAGTTGTGACGTTTGATTTCTCCAAAGGAAAAATCCTAAGCACTATATTTTAGACTTTCTAACAGTCTTTACTAAAATATTTCAAAATTAGCCTCTTAAAACATATTTTTAGGGTGATTGCACTATGTTTACGAGATTGCCCATTGAAAAACATTGCCTCTTAAAACAGTACCCTTGCTATGTCTTTTGATTTTGTTTTTTCTCTTAGAAAGACACTAGACTGGTTTGACTCTCAGTCCTGCTATCAATTAGATGTGTAACTCGGGGAAAATTAGATAATCCATATTCGCCTTATTTGTTTCATTTGAGGATGGAGGCGGAGCTAATTCTCAGGGTTATTAGGGTGTCACATGAGAAAGCCCTTTACTGTGAACCAATCTATAAATATGAACATGAGGATACCATGCTTACTTTAACTGACATTTAATCCAGTTAAGATAATCACTCTTTAGTGGCACTGTCTCTAAATGCTGTCCAGCTACTGTAGGTGAGGATCGAGGATAGGAATGCTTTAAGTGTTGTGTTTTAATGAATATTATGGCCGCCTTATCTTTCTCTTTTCTATCCCAATGAGTGCCTAAGAGAAAAAGAGACGCTACTAAGGTGGGGCGCTAGCTTTCCTCTCTTAAATCATTGATGCGCAGATTTTGTGTTATAGCGATGATTAGTAATAGCCAACACTTACGTAGTGCTAACTGTACCCGTTCAGCTCCCAGGATTTCACAGTTTTGACCCATCTAATCCCCCCAATAACCCTAGGAGACAAGTTCTCCTACCAGTGTAAAGTTGGTGAAACTGAGGCACAGAAAGATGAACTTGTTCAAAAGTACAGTCAGTGTTATCAGTCAAATTGATTTTCCTGTACCTTTCATTAGAGTCTTAGGAAAGAATTTGGCAAAAACAATACACCATGACAAAGGATACCATGAGCATTACTTGAGTCTTGGATATAGGGAATGGCATCTCTTTTTGGATAACTCATGCTGCCTGCAGGCACGTTGGGAATGACACAAAGAGAGTATCTTTTATGTTTCATTCTGTTTTTCTTTTTAATTTTCAGAGCATATTACTGCATGGGTTAGTGTTAATTTACTGGGATTATTTCTCTCTCCTGAGCCGAAGGTGCAGTAACAGGAAGCTAACCTTATCAGAGGGGTCTAGCCATCTCAGTCCGCCTCTAGGAGTGAAAAAATTGAGAGAAAGAGCCCCAGACCCCATCTATAGGGATATTCTAGCGCTCACACACCCTTTATCTTTTTTTTTTTTTTCTTTTTTTTAAGACTTAGATTTTGCTTGAATTACGTTCATATACTATACTTAGTCATTTTCAACTTAGGCATTTTCCCATTCATTTAAACTCATTTTTCATCAACTTGGCCAGTTTTATCAAAGGTCTTTTATGCGGCAGGGGTGCTATGGGGAGGAAGGTGGTGAACTGGCCCGTACATGCCTCCTGCTTGCTGAGCTTCGAGCCTAACAGGAGGCAGACGGTAAGCACGTAGTCTCCCAGGTGGAGGTGACACATGGCGTTTGGCAAACACTTGATGATCATAAATTGTTTTCTCCTGGGTGTCTCTGGGCCTGCACAAGATGTCGGAGCCTTAGGGAGGCAGAGCAGAGGGAGGGCAAGTCAGAGAGAATGGGTGGGGGGCAGAGTTTGCCAGGCAGTGCGTAACACAGCAACAGTGTGTAACACAAAAACAGTGCGTGACACAAGGTGCCACGGGCACAAGAAAAAAGCACAGCTTAATTCGAGCAGCATAACATACACTTCCTTGAATATATCACTGTATATAGAAGAACATTTGCTATGACAACCGTTTTCAGGAAAAGCTATTGCATTTTCATTCTACTCAACTCCATAAAAAAGGGAGGAACACAGTAAATTTATAGTTATTTACCTTATCATGGTGGAAAGTACTTTATTGTTTGAAAATTTATGTGTCAGTTTTATGTCAATTACTTTGTCCAGAATGTTGGATAAATGAGATAACTGCCTACATTTCTATAAATATTTAAAAGCAGTATGAATAGTAATTGCAAAAGCATTACTAATGGGAAGACAGTAGACCTTGGTTTCTGATTCTTCCTGGTAGCCAGAGCCCGGATAAGTCATAACTGAGAAATAATTGATTGCTTTACTTTTCCTCTACCTCCTATTACCATTTGGGTTCAAAACTGAAATGTAAGAATCAATTAGAGACTTTATCTTCACTGTTCATTGGTATATACTAACTATTTACAATAGTACCTGGCGTATAACAGGCACTCAGTATTACTGAATGAATGTATAAATGAGATAATCATATAAGCATATAATTACAAACTGTGATAAGCAAATGCGATAAATGAAAGTACTTTCAAAACTATAAATATCCCACACATGCAAGGTGATGCTATTTATTTGAATTTTAGAAAATTATAATCTTCCAGAAGATAACCTGTTTATTTTTTTTGTTTTGGTTGCTTTCTCTTTTTAAAAAAATTTCAATTACAGCTGGCATTCAGTATTATCTTATATTAGTTTCAGGTGTACAGCATAGTAGGTAGACGTCTATATAATTTATGAAGTGATATCCCTGATAATTCTGGTACCCACCTGGCCCCATACGTAGTTATTACAATATTATTGACTATATTCCCTATACTGCATTTTACATCCCTGTGACTATTCTGTAACTACCAATCTGTACTTCTTACTCTCTTTACCTTTGTCACGGAGCCCCCCGACCCCCTCCCATCTGGCCACCCTCATTTTATTCTCTGTATTCTGTTTTGTTTGTTTATTTTGCTTTAGGTTCCACATATAAGTGAAATCATATGGCATCTGTCTTTCTCTGTCTGACTTATTTCACTTAGCATAATACCCTCTAGATCCATTCATGTCACAAATAATGATTCCATCCTTTTTTGTGGCTGAGTAATATTCCATTGTGTATATATATACCACATCTTCTTTATGCAGTCGTCGACTGATGGGGAAAAGGGCACTCTGGCTACCTTTTGGTGGGAATGCAAATTGGTGTAGTTGCTATGGAAGACAGTATGAATGTTCCTCGAAAAGTTAAAAGTGGAACTACCTTATGACCCAGTGATTCCACTTCTGGTTGCTTTCTCTCTGAAGATTTGCTTCCTAAGTGTTTCTCTTCCTTTATATCCATGGTTTGTAATACTGAATTCTACCTTTATGGTTCTATGACCCCCTCGAAGCCAGTTCAGTTGCTCTCTAGAATAGAGATTCTTAACTAAGGTCAGTGAAGCTTTGCGAAATCTGTGTTTGCCTCCTGAGGCCTCATGCACTCCTCAAAATGTAGGCCAAGTGTAGTGTTCCCTGTGCATTTTACTGGAAAGAGTTCCCTTAACTTTCATTAGATTCTCAGAGTACATGACCCACTCTCCCAAGTTTAAGAATAACTGTTCTAAAATATATATTTTTCTTTCACTTTTTCTTGCTTTATTGGTACTTCTTTTTCCCTGAGACAGTTTCCTTGTCCTCTTCATGTTCACGAATGTATTTTGCTGTTTTGCCGTGTTTGTCCCCAGTATGTGGGATTCTTGGAGTATTGTTCGCCTCTGATCCCAGCCCTTCTCTCTTGTCTCTCTTGCCTGGCCAGCAGTGTGGGGATGTGCCAACTGCAGGATGGTGCTATCCAGCCCTTCGGGCACCTTCACGTCCCCGTGCTACCCGAATGACTACCCCAACAGCCAGGCCTGCATGTGGACCCTCCGCGCCCCCACGGGCTACATCATCCAGATAACATTCAATGACTTCGACATTGAAGAAGCCCCCAATTGCATTTACGACTCACTGTCCCTGGATAACGGAGAGAGCCAAACGAAGTTTTGTGGAGCAACTGCCAAAGGCCTATCGTTCAACTCAAGTGCGAATGAGATGCTTGTGTCCTTTTCAAGTGACTTTAGCATCCAGAAGAAAGGTTTCAATGCCAGCTACATCAGAGGTATGTAAACCAGAGGCGGTGCCAACCTTCTGCTTTCATTTAACATGGTCTACAATAAACACAGGGCCAGGAGGCAGACTTAGGCTCTTTTATGTGAACGTGAATGATTGGGATCAGAATTGGAGGGCAAGAAGTTGTTAATATTCCCTGAGTATTCTCATTAGCAATGTATAGCTACCAGATCCAAAAAATCTGATTACAGTAGAGCCGAGTTCTTTTATATTGTTTATATGCAGAACATTTAAAGGCTGCTTGGAAGACACTAGATTTTCCACAGCTAATAATTAAAATCTGTAATTTTAACATCTCTCCACTGAATGTCTAAAACATTCCTATTTAGAATCATTTTCTTTCTGGCTTTTAAGATACTGCCCTTTTAAGGAATTATGCTAGGGGACAAATATAGAATATTAGCATATAAATTAAAATTTTAAAAGAGTTATTTATTACTTAAGCTAATAAGCAACATACCCTGAGGAAAATCACTTGAAAAAATGGCAATTGAAGGAAAGACGATATATTTTTATCAAATATATTTCCCAGATTATGGCATATCTTAGCATTTAAATAATTCTATTCTTTCTAAAACCTGCCTTTGCTTAAGGAAAACACAACCTTCAGAATTATAAGATGTAGTTATATATTTTCTTCTCTTGAGCTTCTTAAGTAGATGTCATGTATCAAGAAAAGAAACAAGAAAGGCATCGCAGTGAAAATGACTCTCATTATTATAAATTGTGTTTTTGGTGGCAAGTTTATTTACTGTTTGTAATCGACATAAGATATATGTGTGGTTAATTGAAACACATGCTTTAATTTTTCAAATAATGTTTTAAAAATGATAAAATGTAGAAAATTTGAAAATAGAAAAGAAGGAAATTAGAATGACCTATTTATATACTCCCAGCCATAATCACTAATAAAATGTTGATGGACATGTTTGCTTCTAGACTTTTTATTTTAACAATGTGTGTAGAACACTGGGTTCATACTGCATAAGATCTCTTTGGGTTAATAGACATGTAAACTGTTTTATATTTAAAAAGTAGACTAAAATCCATAATTCTATCAAAGTCCATCATGGATGTTTAACTAGAATATTTATATTGAAATGATGTTTTTACCATAGACTTATTTTTGGTATATATTAAAATATATTCAAAGTGCCATTCATATGAAACAAGTATTAAAATAGTTTTTTGAGGAGAGCTGCTTCTCTCTCAAATCAGTTCATGATCATTCACAATGTCTATTATATTAACATAAGGCTAAATCCATTGTATTATTTAATCATTTCACATATGTCACAGAAGAACTAGGTTAATGTATGTTTATTTTGAATTTATTATGCATATAATAATAGTAATCTATGTTAGTAATCAGTGCTAGCTATCGATTGACTATGGCACAAGCACTGCCCTAGTGCTTTGCAGGTATTAACTGACTTAATTCCTGTTGACCACTGTGTGACCGGTGCCTTCGCCTGCATTTTGCAGATGAAGAGGCCGGGTAGAGCAGAGTGAGTAGCATGTCCAAGGTCACAGAGCACAGAGGAGGAGCTGGGGTGGGCCCTCCATCATCTGCCCTTTGAACCCCTCTCCTTACTATCCCTCACACACTAGCTCAAATGTGAAGGAAACAGAGCTTCAGATTCCATTTTTGTTTGTTGTTTTACTAGACTCCCTCTCCTCAAAAGAATTGTTTTTGCCTTCATTCCTGAAATACCCTTGTGATGGGGAACATAAGTAGGATATAGGGTGTCAGAAGGGGAGAAAGACAATTGTTAACGGAAAATGGAACTATTAGTTATTATATTTAGAACTCATTTGAAACTAACATATTTTTGAAAGTCTTAAGTATGAATAGAGCTTTCCTAAAACCAGTAGTTTTTTAATTATGTGGTTTTGGGGGTTTTTTTTCAGTTCAGGGATAACAAGAAATACTTGTTATTAACGTGGCTGTCTATACCTCAAAGGTTTAGGTGTGAGGTCCAACCATGATTAGGATTTAAATGGGTAGGATTTCTTCTTGCTATTATGATGATTGGTATAAGGTAATGGGTTGGTGACGGAGGGTAGATGGACAGTGAAAAGGCGAGTGATGGGGCAAAAGTCTCTCTGTGGAGTGGTGGAGGGGTTGGGTGTATCAGACATTTTGCATCTCACTCAGTCCATAGCTGAAGCTAACATGTTTTATCTGTTGTTATGTTTCGTCCTAGTTGCTGTGTCCTTAAGGAATCAGAAGGTCATTTTACCCCAGACACTAGATGCGTACCAGGTATCTGTTGCAAAAAGTGTCTCTATTCCGGAGCTCAACGCTTTCACGCTCTGTTTTGAAGCAACCAAAGTTGGCAAGGAAGATGGTGAATGGGTGGCTTTCTCCTACTCAAATGCCTCCTCTGCACAATTACTCAGTTTTGGAAAGGCCAAGAGTGGCTACTTTCTAGCTCTATCTGGCTCAAAATGCTTACTGAACAGCGTGTTACCTGCAAAGGATAAAGAAGACATTTTCACAGAAAGCTTTGAGCAGCTCTGCATCGTTTGGAATAATTCTTTGGGCTCTGTTGGTGTGAATTTCAAAAGAAATTACGAAGCAGTTCCATGCAATTCTACCATTAACAAAGTTATTTCTGGGAATGGGAAATTGTTGTTGGGCTCCAATCAAAATGAAATCGCTTCTCTAAAAGGGGACATTTATAACTTTCGACTTTGGAATTTTACCATGAATTCCAAACTCCTCTCCAACCTCAGCTGTAATGTGAAAGGGAATGTGGTCGACTGGCAAAATGACTTTTGGAATATCCCAGCCCTAGCTCTGAAGGCTGAAAGCAACCTAAGCTGTGGTAAGTCTCTGGCGTATTAACTCTGTTTTTAAAGCATTGCTCTATGAGTATGTTTGTCAACAAAAAATGTGCATACATATACATATACACATATGTAATTACATTACACACATATGTGTGTATAATAAATACACATGCATGTGTGTATGTATATATACATATATACAGTTAGCATTAATGAGCTCTTTAATTTTTAAAATGTTATCTGCTCAGCTATTCATAGTATACATTTGGTGACAAGCCATGTTTTTTCAATCAAAACTTTTGGTCCTACCATTTTTAAGTTTTTTTATATCACAAAAGATTACACAGTTTATCACTAACAAGCAATAGTTATAATTATCATGTCTCAAATAGAAATGTTAACACCAGGCCTGAAATAAAAGAAATTAATGTTACTGTTTTTAATCACATAGATGATACAGACAAAGCTGACTTCTATCATCCTGGTATGAAATTTACATTACATTATTTAACTAAACAACCACCACCTAGAAACATGGTCTTTACTCAGTCAATATTAAATAGTACAACTCTCCATTTAAGGAAAATCTTAGATAATCAGAAATTATCATTGTCTTCTTTGAACTTTGTTCTCTTTATTTGAAAATGGGCTTTGTCATTTGTTTCAAATACTCTTCAAATACTTTAATGAGATATAACTCTCATTAAAGGAGAGAAGGGGCCTCATATTAAAAAGTAATTTGCATGTGGCCTTAGAAGGGAGTCTATCAGAAATTTGTTCCCAATACTTTCAACAAAATAGGGCCCATTGTGAAGGCCTGAGGCCACCTCCCCGGTTTCCGTGACCTGTGCTTGCCCTGCCGGCCCGAGGAACTCCTGTCACCTGCCCCTCTGTGTGGGTAACCCATCTCTCCGTGTGGTCATGGCGCTCCTGCAGAGGCCGGGAGGCTATTAAGTGATGTCACTGGGGAGTCATTTCCTTGTGGGTTGTTGGAAAGAGGGTAAACCACGACCCTGTTCCAGAAGGAGACTGTGGAGCTTTGTCCGAGCTAACGGTGCCCCCCAGCTGCTCTCAGAGCGCCTTCAGGGATTCCCGAGGCCCTTCCACTCGGTGAGGAAACTGAGAAGGGCCAGTGTGTGCGCTGTGGGGCGGCGGGCGGGGAGGGCCGTGGCCCACTCCTAGAGCCGTAGCTAGGGGCCTGCTGCCACCGTCGCCTCGGTCACTGTAAAAGCCATAATATAAACCATTTAACATTTGTCTTTTTGTGGAGTAGTATTTGAGGACTCTGGCAACCAAAACAAAACAAGCAAACAAACAAAAAAGAAAAAGAGAAAGAAAAGAAAATAATTTGGCTAGGTATATTGGTAATTGCTAACACTTAATTTATACTTAAATTAATACATGTATTATGTTCTAGGTACTGTTTTAAGTCCTTTACACATGTAAACTAATTTTCTACATTGATCGCACGATGTGGGTTTTATTGTTAACCTCATTTTGCGGAAGAGAAATCTGAGGCCCAAAGAGATTAAGGAATTTAACCAATGTCACTTCATTAATAAGTGGCCAAGCCAGGAATTGAACCCAAAAAGCTTGGTTTTAGACCCACACATTCTTAACCAGCATCAATTATACTGTCCTTCTGAACAGCAGGTCAAGAAAATGGGACTCAGTACTAGAGTAGGGGAGCTAATTCTTACCCAGGTGAGAACTGCGCAGGTCTCAGAGCCATCTCTTCTGGCCAGAGTGCCTTCTGTGGGAAGACACTAGTTTTCTAGGGTGTTAACACGGTATTTGTTTTAAACAAAAATAATAAGATTCTTTCCTGCAATGCTTCTTAGATGCTTTAATAAAATAAAATGTGTACAAAAATCCTTAAATTTCTCTAAGAAATTCTGTAGACCAGGGATTGACAAAGTAGGAGGGCTTATGGCAGGCCATATGTTTTTGTCAAGTTTTATTGGAACACAGCCATGCCCCTGAGTTTTATTTTTATTGTTTTTTAAACAATGTGTCTTTAAAACTCCTTTCCCAAGCCTTATGACTACCAGAATACACCAGATACATGCTCATGTAGCATAGTCATCTATACATTTCCAAAATGATTTCATTCAAAGGAGTGGCACAAGCTTACCTAATCAGTGATGAGAATTTACTTTAATTTTTGTAGTGGTCTTCTTGACATTCCAAGATGACACTAAACACCCACATTTCATAGATTCAGATATCCTGGACTGAGTTTCAGGAATCATAACAGGAGAGGGAGAGGGAGTTTCCTGCCGTTTAATCATCAGCTTTGGGAGCTGAAGAACCAAGTCACTTATTAACTGACAGGAAATACCTGTGACACAGATTATATCTAAGTTTATTAGCTCAGTAAAACTTCAAGAATTGAATAAAAGTATGCTCTATTAACATTTTAACCTTCCCTTTTCCCCACAATGTAGTGGCTTGCTGTTTATGGTACTTGTAATTTTCAGAAACTAATAAGTACAGTAACCAATGGGAAAACAGAATTTCATGCCTAACGAACATTCCATTGGCCTGACGATGTCTGTTAAGTAGGAACTTCTATTTCAGAATCAACTTGTGATGGAAAACAAGTAGATTTTTTCTAAAGGTCTATGGCTAAGTAAAGTTGTCATATGAAAATAAGATAGTAGAACAGAACTAACTACGTTTAAATGTCTTGTCATTTGTTTCAAATATGAAATAGTCTAGCCTTAATAAAATCAATAAATGTTTCAACAGTTTCAGGATTGGACTTTTTAGTTTTCCTAAACTATTTTGAGCATACTTGGGGAATATACCTTACTTAAGAAATTTTCAACAGGTTTTCTTAAAAACGTGGTTAATCTTGTCAGTCTTTTTCAGAAAGAAATGCTTTATTTAGCAGCACTTCTTTTTATGTTATAGCATCATTTTCTTTCTTAGAACAATTTCTGTTAAACATACTCAGTTTTATGACCTCCGTGGATAAAGAATTTTCTTCGCTGACTCTTTAATTATAGGTGCAAGTCTTTGCCTGTGTTATGATTCAACTTTGAATGCTGGCTAGTGTTCATCAATTCTCGCAAAGAACAGACAGTGCCTTCTCTACCAGTTTTATTTATTTTACTGCTGACTGTTCTTTCCTGAGGTGTATAACTCAATGAATAGTCTAAGTTCAAACAAATCACATTTATTTAACTAGCATTAATAAGCACTTCCATTTATTAGCCACTGTGGTTAGAGATAAGATATAATTCATAAGTACCCAACTTTGTTGTCATTCTTTTCTAGAAATGTTTGGATTTGTACCAACTTTTGTTTTCACTGTAAAATTTTGCACTTAATTACTAAGGCGTCATCACCTCTTGGATTCCTACCCTTTCATTTTCAATTTATTTCTGTTTTTCATGGCCCTAAAACTCTGGTTCACTATTGGCTCCTTCCTTTTATCCCTAACAGATTTTTGACTAGCATTTTTAGGTTACTAAATTATATATAAATAATAAAGATAAAAAAGATAAAATCACTTTATCATTACAAAGGACTTTGTTATTTGCAGATGCTTAAACTCTATGAGCATAAATGACTCTCAGAGATAATTTTATTTGAAAACTATTTATTTATGGAAAAATTATAAAATTCAGCTTAGTACAGCTGCAAAGAAAGAATTGAAAGGAATTATTTTTCCCCCACTGTAACTCATGCTAAGGGTTCATTGCTGTCTACTGTGATTTGGATGATCATTAACTAGGCTATGAAATGAGTTGTTGGCTACACATCAATCATTTTCACCACGACTCGTGTAAGTAAATAGTGACTCCTTTCAATAGCATAATTTTGGAAGAACAGATAGAAAAGAAAGATTTCCAGCTTCTCATCAACTGCCCATTTTCAGTGATTACATTTTTTCCAAGAAATTTGGCTCTAAATTTTGCAGTTAGTGTTAAGTAAATATCTTTAAACACCTTTGTGGTTTCTATGAAAATCAGTGAGCATAAATAAGTTACATTCTGAGAACAATTCCTTGATGATAAACAAACACATTGCCCTTATCCAGGAAGGAGAGCTATCTCGCCTTGCTTAACCATCCCCTGGTTTGTAAATCTGTTGGCCTAGGAAAATTGATAGAATAGTGACTTTTTATGCAGATAGGGTGAGCATGGAACTAGATAGAAAAAAAATTTGCATGTACTTTTTATATTTCTTGTATTTATATAATTTGGTGTTTTTGTAATGCAAGATTTTATTTATCAATATAATTTCCCTCTAATAAGACTCATCACTTGTATTTACACTGTTTCCCCCCAAAATTATCAAATTTAATACCTATTGTTATATCAACTCATCATAAAATAGTGTGTACTGGGTATTTATAAAGCAATGTCCATTTGCTAAATTAAGTGCCTAGAAGGAACAACTGACAGCTTAAACACCGAGAAGTCAATGTTACGATTTCCCATGAAGAGGTTGTCACTTACTGAAATTTACACTTGTTCCTATACAATGACACTGATAAAATGTAAAAGAAAATTGTCAAGTGTCTTACTGTAAATCACAACTCTTCTGGTTTTCTTTCCTGATTCCCACCTCTAAGCTCTGTAATACACTGCACTGGAAATGTAGTTAGCCATAAAACCTCTTTCCCACAACAATGTCCCCTTATCTCCCTTTGTCCCCCAGAGATACTGTATCAGGGCCAGAAGTGGCCGAGGGAGCCTTTGACTGCCAACATTGTGTGTAACTTGAGAGGAGCAGGAACTCCATCCAAGGGTCTCCTCTCTTGCCTGTTACAGTGGCTGAGATTTTCTCACTCATTTTGAGTTTTGAAGGCTTTTTAGTTTTTAGAAGTCCCTTACTAACATATAAGTACCTTAAGGAGAAATGAGGTCCTGCAAGAAGAGGACAGAAGTTAAGCCTGATGAGAAAGATTAATGGACAGAAAACTTTCAAGATAAAATTCTACCTCACTTCTGCCTGAGGCTGACCTCAGCTTCTGCCTCCTCAAATACTCTTTTTCCATAGCACACTTGTCCAAGCTTTCAGTCTTGAAAACTCCCCCTCCCTATCTCTGCTTCCTTTCATAGCCAAGCTTCCTCTTTTTGCAGTCACCCCTCAATCAAACGCTGGCAGTCTAGAGTTCATCGTTCCCACGCTCCTGACACAAATGTCTGTAGAGCTGCTACCAAAATGCAGTGCAGAGTTTAAGGTCTCAGTCTTTATCATTCTTGACCTTTCTGGTGCACTTGTTATTGCCACAACCTCCATGAAACTTTCTTCACTTTAATTCTGAAAAAAACACCTCCTACAGGAGCTATTTTTACCTTCTCAAATCTATAATTCTTTTTAAAAAATCTGATCCTTAAATATAGGAATATCTCTGGTGACATCCCTTTCTCCTCTCAGGTCTTCACTGTAGCTGCAGTCATCCCAGACCCAGCATTAGCTTCTTTGCGTTTTGCTGAGACCTCTTACAAAGCCATGCGCACCTGCCATGTATGAGATGTCTCACGGGCACCTCAGTTTCCATCACTGGACTGACGAGTTAGCCCACGTCGCCTAAGTTTGCTCCTCTTCCCGCATCTCCTATCTCCTTTTATGAGATTATTTATGTACCAATTTCTCCAGCTGGGAACTGGCAACATGTTGTCTTCTCTTTCCCTGTTCCCAAAAGTCACTGACTCCCATACATTCTGTCTTCAAATGTCTTGTATCTGTCTCTTTCTGTCCATTGCCATTTTACTCATGATACCAAGTTTAAATGATTAGTATTATTAGTGCTTCTTGTATCTCCCTTCATTTAATTGGTTATGGAGCCTCCTAGACGTTTTCAAACATAAATCTAACTTTCTCACCTAGTTCCCTTTCATTTTTTCCCATTTCCTTTAAGAAAGAGTTCAAGATGTGAGCAGTTATTCATAATCCATTCAGTAATTCGTTCAGTAAAGCTTGAGCACCACCTGCTAGGTGGGTGGGATACACCATCCTTAGAAAGACAGAGGCTCTGCACTTGTGGTGCCTACCTTCTCCAGGGTCCTTATCCATTACCTATGTATCTGATCATTCCTACCAATTTTCTACAGATATCCAGTAATGCTATGTCACTTGAGCACCCAGATCTTTTCACTGCCTTCTTGGTATATGCTTCAGTAATTCTGTCTGCTAGAAATGTCCATCTCTAGTCTCTTATTCCATGATCAGTACAGTGATGACTCATCTTCGTCATAGTTCTTCTTTGTAGTGGATTGCACCCTTCTCCCTTCTCACCAAACTGCTGGTCATGCCCTCCTCTGGGCTACTAAACACCCCCATCACTCAGAGGACTGTGAAGCCGTTTCCCATGTGTGCCTCTCTGAGAGCAGTGACCTGATCTCAAAGTATTATTCTAGCCTCTGAGCCTCATACACTGTAAACAGTCAGTGAATTTTTATTGAATGAACATGTAAAGGTCTGCAATGAGAGCTTTGTACCAGACTTGCCTATAGGGTTGGGCCTTTCTTAGGCAACATGATTCCTTCCTCAGGCCAGCTGCCTGAGGCGATCAGGAATGAAGGAGCCGGGACTCCTAAGATGCTAGTAAACTGGGGGTGCCTCGTGTTTTGCACACATTTACCTGGACACCTGTTAGCTCATCTTTCTGTACCTGCTCTACCCACAGGTACTATTCCCACAGGAAAGTTTAGAAAATATTTAAACATTTGAATGGGGTTACCGTTGTAGAAATGTCCTTTAAAAATTGAATGTGTGTTTATGTGTGTGTATTTGTTCTTATTCTCTCTTTATTCATAGTGCAATATGCTTACTGAAAAGTTTCACCCATCTTCCCTCACCTCAGCCTGTTCATAAAAGTCTGTTAGTTGTCAGAGGGAAGTTTAGTGCAACAGAGAAAACCCACTGCCCCTGCTAGAAAATCAAATGTGTTTCCTACTGAGGATGAGTCAGTAAAAGCTTGAAATAAAAAGACCAGAGACCAACCTGAAATTACAGAAACACATTTCTGGAATTGCAAGTAGTTCCTAGTGCCTAGGAACTGAAAATGTGCGTTTTATGAGTACTCATAGCCAAGTTTACTTTTGAAACTTATCTTTGATGTTTATATTATTTCATCTGTACAAATTTCCACCAGAGCTGTATAATTTATTATGTGAAAAAGCCCTGAACTTTTTACACAACTTTTCTTTCATGTGTGGATGGCCAATAAACTGAGTTAAAGATTTTGAGGGATATTTCAATAACCTGATTTTACATTTGCAGAAATTAAGACACAAAGAATTTAAAAGACTTTCTTAATGTTGGAGTATTACTGGTGGACACTTCTAGGGCTGCTCCTAGTATACCAAACATATGACTCATGATTTTCTTTCTGGATAATATTAAATCTTAAGTACAACTTATATAATCCTTTGTGTTAATCAAGGTTCCTACCTGATCCCGCTCCCAGCAGCAGAACTAGCCAACTGTGCAGATTTGGGGACCCTCTGCCAAGGTAGGGAGCCAGCGTCGTCCTCTGGAGTCTCTCTGTTTTCTGCTTGCTATTTTGGATAATGTAGTTTTTATTGTTTTGATTTGTATCTTAATTTTCTCTTGGAAAGCCAGAAACCAGCAAAACAGAAGAATTTCTGGATGTGTTTTAGTTGCGTGGGTGCACAGTGCGTACAGTGTGGAGAAAGAATGCATTCACAGACTGGATGACCACATTTCCATAAAGCACTGAGTTTTTTAGATGTGAATAATTATATGTTATTAACCAAGGGTTGATTTCACTTTTTCCCCCTATGTCTTCTCAAGAAGATTGCAAAGGTCCAGTGTAAATACATCCATACAATGTTTTGAAAAAGTGTTCATGTCTAAAATTCAAGGGGAAAAAATTAAGTTGAATATTCAGTTAAGCTTAAGATAAGACCATAGGCAGTTTATGAGGTGCAATATAACTTAAATATTAAGATAAAAATAATTATACTAAACTAATGTTAATGTAATTTTATTAATTATTATAATGCATAATGATTATATTATGGTCAGCATTCTAATGACATATTATGGACTAAACAGTTGCATGCTAAATAATATGTAATTAAATTCCTATAAGTTTTAAAATAATAATATATTTTACTTTAATTTTATTACTGCTGTTCCTAATTTCCCATGACCCTTTTCATCCATTTATTCAATTAAATGCTTCTTTGTGAAGTAGCATGTTCTATGTACCACATTAAGAATCATGATCATGTCTTTTGTAAAAGCTGGATCTCTTATTAGGAGGAACATAGCGTGAAAGTAATGGTTAGAAGTGGGACTAAATGAACAGAAGCTGAAGATGTCTTCTGTGGTTTCAGTAGGGCTGTGATTCATTATTATCTTGTTTCCTTTCTGAAACATTATTCTTGATATTATTATCAATGAATACCTTATGAAAATAAAAGAATTAAGTAGTTTCCATGAGCTCAGTGTACTTTAAAAGTAATTATATGACACAGAAAAAGAAACACATTTTGCCTAGTTCAAGATCTAAAGGTCTGTAAAATTTATTTATTTTTTGTCTTAATCTGAGATACCTATAGTACTGATTTCTTGGATCACAGGACCAGATGCCCAGCTATTTTTACACCTGTGTCCTAAATGACCCAAAACTCATTTTCCTGTTTATTGATGTATTTTGCATTAAGATAAATATAACTGTTCGTAATTTTTTTAAAAAGACTTCAAAATGAACCCCCATTCTTAAGTATTAAATATCACTTTGGAATAGAAAATTTTTCAGTTCAGAAGGGATACTTTTTTAAAGTAATAATGCATATTTTGAAACAAGGAATTCAGAATTTTCTAAAGACCTTTTAGGAGGTAATTCTTTGTGTAAACACATTTAAATGTTTTAAATTTAGGAAATTTTAAAAAATTGAGACACCTAACAAATGGTTATTGTACATCTTAATGTACATTTAATACAAATATACTCTTAGGATAAACTAAAGAAATATTATATGTATAGTGTTTTAGCTACTTATACAGGATGAAGGAAATGTAGGTTTACACTGGTTTGTATGGAAAAAGAGATGCAGGTTATTTTTATTACAATAGATTTATTAACTCTGTGTTTCGTGTATTCACAACTCTAAACCTACTTCTGCCCCACCTGGTATATCTCCTTCAGAATGCCTTAGAAAAATATTTTCAAAGCATTACATGAGGATTTAATCTTTGAGAGTTTTAATGATATCAGAAGCATATCTCTGACATAATGCTGTGAAATGTCTCCCCCATAAAATTTGTCCTTATGAAATCCATTTTGCCCATCACTTTATTAAAGTTATTGGGATCTGTAGATGACTGATTTAGTCTATACATTTTATTCTTTCGTTTTACTTTAAATTCATCTTCTCAAGGAGAAATTTGTTTTCCTCTGAGATTTTGTTCCTCCCGTCTCAGTAAATCAGGAAGACTGACTTAGTTTAGATAATTTTCAAGCTGATGGATGTGGTATAGACTGCCTTCTCTAACCTTTTCCTTGTACAAATTCAGGAAACTGAGTTCTGCAGGGGTAGTTACTCACAGTGTGGTTGTCAGCCTGTTCATGGCAGACCTAGGCCTGGAGTCTAAATGCCCTTGCTCCATTCTCTTCGTGCCAGGTCCAGATCGTGCAATATGGTACCAAAGGACATGCAAACTGATTCTTAATGTGCCATAGAAAGCATTGCTTCATTTTATGCATAATAACCTGTAGTCTGATGCAATTAGTGGCAAGAAATAGTTTCCCTTTCTTCTCCATATATTGTCATGAATTAATTATGGGTTGCTCATCCATATTAACTGCCATATGCTCCTTGCAAAATTACATCTTTCTCATCTTTATTAGCAGCTACTGTAAGTTCTCCTAGTACTACACCACCTACTGTCACCACTAACATGCCTGTTACTAACAGAATCGCTAAACAAAGCAATGGTAAGAAACTATTACCTTTTATATTGTAGTATTCTGATGTGATAAAAAGTTGTTTTCTAAGGGTGGAAATATCTAATGTTCCAACAAAGTTTCTGTTATTGGAATCAGTTGGTACTTTTGCAAGACTAGTAAAATAAATATCACTTGATTCTCTTGAGTTCCTTTTTCTAATGACCAGTGGAATGAGTTCATTTCCAGCACCACTCCTCTGTACTTCTAGCTAAAATTTCTTTCAAAGGAACTTTTATGAGAAATGCATGTTATTAAAAGGAATGAATTTATATTATGCTAGAGATCCCGGAAAAAATTTATTCATGGTATTTTGTCAGATTATTCTCTTCAGGAACATACTTTCTAAAGGATTTTATAATTTTAAAAAGAAACCTAATTTTAGTAATTTAACTTTTCACTAAGGCCAACTTTATGTTTAAATGTTTGTGTCATTTAAATCACTTTATATGGTAATAACTTGCTCTGTTTTCATTTGTTGAAGAATAATAGTTAGAATGTGCTTTTCTATCAACTAAAGCATAAATCAAGTTTTGACTAAAAAACCTTCAAATAACTACCAAGTACATCTTGCCTTTATTGCATATATGATTTTCTATTTATATTATTTGTAATTTGCAAATGTAGCAATTATATAAGGTAAGACAGGAGCAAGGGAGAAGCCTGGTGAATGGAACTTTAGTTAATGTTTCCTATATGGGCCACATACATAGCCTTTGGGTAATTCAGAGTAAGTGATTTCGGTTTCATCTGAAAAAGAGAAATTCCAATCAGGTGACCACACCATTGCCTCGAATACAGTCATATTCTCAAATATGAGGTATTAGAAACAAAAGAATTTTCCCAACTCCAGTCATTTAAGTTGTGAGGCCAAGACATCTGTAATATATCACCAGGGACCACAACCCAGAGAAAAGAAACCCACACAGTTCATTTTTTCTTTTGGCTTTGGAGTTACATCAACTTCCTCTGTAGGGACATTTAAATTGGAAGTATGGAATATTTTACATGAAATGTAAAGAGTTATAAAGACATCGATTCAGGGAAGTGTTTATGGTTATTCTGGTAGTTACACCAAGGAGATTTATGATGGAGCAAAAATTCCAGCAACCCCCAAGAAAGCAACAGCAGCTGAAGTTTCCAGTGCATATTTCACGTGGACGCCCGCCAGTAGATGGGAATATTATAATTCTAACGAAGCATTTCACTCTTTGTATGAACATACAAAGAGCCTCTGTGGCATTCTCCCTCCAGGACTGGCACATCCTCTGCTGCCCAAGAACATTTATACGATGCTTCAGAGTCCTTGCCTTGGTGGCGTAGAGCTGTATTCACTCAATCATATCATTTCTGACATTCTTGAAGAGAGCTTTGTTTAGGCCGCATCTCTCTGCGTCATAACCTTTACTGGAGTTTCAACAAAGCAAGCAAATGTTAGAATCAGTAGAAATGGTTTGACTTGACCACATTAAAGAAAAAAATTCTAATTCAGATGATTCTTGATAAAAATATAGCCCTAGCATTTAAAAATATTTTAAAATATTCATAGGTTGTCATGTAGTAGAAATATTCTCAAAATTGTGTACTCAGATTTGTGTACCAATATTTTTTACCACATCCTTGAACCACCTCTATCATCCATTTCTTAGTTTTTTCTAAATTCATTCACTTTTTTATTTAAACATTTTCATTTGTATGGGAAAATTGGTATGACTATTATAAAGTGAAACCATAACCACTTGTTTTAAAACAAAAGTGAAGCCCAGTTGGCCGTGGCTCAGGGTTGAGCATCGACCTAGGATCCAGGAGATCGCAGTTTGATTCCCAATCAGGGCACATGCCCTGGTTGCGGGCTCAACCCCCAGTCGGGGGCCTGCAGGAGGCAGTCGATCAAATGACTCTCTCATCATTGGTGTTTCTATCTCTCTCTCCCTCTCCCTTCCTCCCTCTGAAATCAATAAAGACATATTTAAAAAATTAATAAATAAATAGATAAATAAATAAATAATAAAAAATAAATGTGAAAATAAATATAACGAAAACAATGCTATTGGATCCTCCCTATATCCTCTTGCTTTCTCACATCTCAGTCCCCCAAAGTAGTTATGTTTTAAAGATGGAGACTAACAAAGTGTTAGAGATAGACTATAATCTAAATACTATTTTTTTCTTTGGTGTAGTCAAATTTGAAATAATTGAAAAGAGAATTACTTGTTCACCTTGTGAATAAATGAGATTTAATGTCCTGACCTTGACTATCTGAGATCATTCACATACTGTCAACAATTTCAGATACACTTTTTTTATTCCTTGGGAAACCGATATAGTAAACATTCTCAGGCCTGTGATCTGATATACGGGGTGGAGCAAAAGTAGTTGATAGTTGCTCATATGGAAAATAATACAGTAATTAATAAATAATAATGAAGAATAAACTCTGTGTTTCACATACAACTTTTAACCTACTTTTGCCCCACCCTGTGTTAGAGAATCTGTTTCAGTCAGTGTAAGAAAGGCAGGCAAACTATCAAATCCGTTTTACCTGGTTTTGTAAACTCTGGACTACCAAAGAGTTTTACTGAGTTCCTCAGTAATGAGGGGGATTATATACTAAGAAAATCTTATCTCTTAAGATACTTTTCACAAACAGAGATATCAGGAACTAATGGAAGATAATCTAGGTATTTCCACAAATAAGTTTTAACCTTTCCTATTAAATTTCCAAGAAAAGGTCCTTTACTAATTATTATTTCCATTCAAAATTATATTTTTTATGCTTAAAGGATCACTCTAGTGCTACTGAATATTAAACTTTTGTGAGGTCAGCAACCCAAGTGAAGAACTAACTTTGTTAGTCTTTATTATTTTTCTAAAAATCTAGCTTACAAGTACAAATTGTAACACTGCTTCTCGTGTCTCACGTATGTTTAACTACTCAAATAAAAGTTCCCTCTCATGATATTTGTATGGATCCAACAGTCAATCTAGCTGTTCACACCAGGAATCTTTAAAGAAACTATGTGTGTCAGGTGAGCAGTACTCCAGTCATATTACAAATGCCACTGTCGTAATTCTCATCACTAGTTCAGAGAAATAATCTTGAATCTAAAATAACATTTGCTTTATATATGAATATCTGTCTTTTCAAATATACATTTTAAAATCTACCTTTCAGCCCTGGCCTAGTGGCTCAGATGGTTGGAGTGTCGTCCTGTCCACCAAAAGGTGGCGGGTTCGATTGTGATCAGGGCACATCCCTAGGTTTCATGCTGGATTCCTGTCTGCGTGCATGGGAGAAAACTGATCAATGTTTCTCTCTCACGTTGATGTTTCTCTCACTCTCTCTTTCTCTCCCCTCCCTCTTTCTCTAAAATCAATTAAAAAATATATACTTGAGTGAGCATTTAAAAAAAATCTCCGTTTCAAACCTATATTTCACAACCTTGACTAGAGAGTGAATACAGTAATGTCATTTCTGTATCTTCCAAGAAACTGAAAAAAGTGTTAAGAAGACAAAAAGGAAAAAATTAATTGGAGAAAGACCTCCAGACAGGAATGAGGTTTTGTAATACCACATGTGTAATGGCAAGCAGTAATTTCTACTTTGACGTTCTCGTGGCTGGAAGAGTTATCTAACTGGAAGATGAATACACTCTTCAATACTTTTTTCCCCGAAGAAATGTCTACCATAAATTCTTCTGGCCTGGACGCCATAATTAGGACAATACATTCATCTTTTGAAGTCCCTGGAACAAAGGAAGCTTTGGGAATAGCTTTTCTATTGAGTCACCGAGGGGGCCGCAAGGTTTATGGGGCGAGAGCCTGGCTGCAGGATGTCGGGAGAGGCTGCAGGGAGAGGCTGTGCGCTCCCGCACCCGCTCCAGCTCCTGCACCCGCTCCTGCACCCGCACCCGCACCCGCAGCGCTTAGCCGGCGGTCCTGCGGCAGCCAGGGCCCCTCCACCAGCCCTTCAGGGGGCATCGCGTTTCGCTTTGGCCTCTCGCTCTTGGACATCCCGCAGCATTTCTTGTTGACCCACATTCTTCAAAATTGCTAAATAAGTGTGACTAGTAGCCCCTGCCGAGCAGTTTTCAGCCAAGTGTAAAAACATCACATCGCCAGGCGCCTGAGCGGGGCCTGCGTGATGCCCGCAGCCCAGAGAGCCTGTGGCGCGGGTGCCGGTGCCGGGTTTCCAGGCCCGCGTGGGTTACTCGCTGCAGGCAGCAGGACTAGGGACAGGCCTGTGTTTGTAAATTGATCTCGGCTGCCTCTGACATTGCTTGTCTGTCTTGTTTACAAAAACAATGAATTGGATAAAGAGTGAGGTAGGAAATATTTAAATTTAAAGAAAAGTGTCTTAAATGTTTAGATGCTTCCATAAAGTTTCAGACACGTCCGTGATGGAAAACACTGATTTTTAGTGTTTTGCTCTGTTTTTCTGAGAGGGAAAGGATACTTCTGTTGAACAAACACGTGCTTTAGATCTCCACCTAGTGGCAGCTTTTCACTACTCTCCTGGCATCAGGGAACATTCCTAGGACCCTGAACTAAATATACAACCTGGGACTCCTGCAATTTGAATTTCCTCTCAATCACTCGGAATGTCCACGTTTTGATATGATGAGGTCTAAAGTGTAAAAAGGTTTTGTTTTGTCTTTTTGTCTGAATTATTATTATTTGTCTAAATATCTTTCTCTGAATGTTTTTTATTTAGAATATTTTTAAAGGAATATAAATTCAGGATCATTAAAATACCTGAAGAGTTTTAGAAGCTAAAATAACTTAATGTTTATAAATTAAACTCACTTGAACCTGTACCAATTTCATATATTTATATTACATCCTGGGGTGGCTTTTTTTTTTTTTTTTTTAAAGCATGAGATTCTGACCCATATACTGGAAAATCATTCTTTTAGTAATTGGACAGCAATTTGCATTTTGGTAAATTTGGGAATTTCCAGAGGCATGCTTTTTGTATTTTTTTTTTGTACTGCCTCCTCAAAATCTTTATTAAATCTGTTTTTCGTCATTGTTTTAATTATATATTCCTACATTTTCTGGGCATATTTTACTCAAGACATACCAAAACATAAGCATGAAGAAAGACGACTGGGTATAAGGGAGGTTCAAGAAACTGTTTTCTCTCAGTAACCTACCATATTTTATTTAGTAAGGTGCCCTGTGACATGCATCTGGGGAGATTTAGCAAATCCTGGTGGTGAGTTTGATTTGTGTGCATGTGTGCGTGCGTGTGTATGTGCGCGCGTGTGTGTGTGACATACTTTAAAGATTGCCCCCAAAACAAAAAGGCAGAACTCCCTCTAACATCGTTTTCTTTTCAAAGCAAGCTACTACAATTGAGATTCTTTCTGCAAATATTATTTTCCCCTCTACTTTGGTACAAACGGCTACATTTATGGAATTTTGATTTAAAAAAATCTAGTAAAATGCAACCCAATAACTTAGCAGAAGTCCGAGCTTTATTGGGGAGGGGAAGGAAAAGAAAGGGGGGAAAGGGGGGTTAGGCCGGGGGCAAGAACCCGCATAAGCCTGTTCTCTTCGGGGTTGGCGCCTGCCCGTCTCACCCGCTTTCACACGCCAGACCCTTCAGAATGTACAAGAAAAAGATAATTTCTTGTTACAAGAAATCAAAGTGTACATGAAAAAAATCACTACTTCACAGACCATAGATATTGGAAATATATAGAATTTAAAAATATGAACTTGCAGGTAATAACTTAGGAGGCATGAATGAACTATCTGTAGGAGTAAACTAATCTCTAAGACGTTGCAAAGGTCAGTAGCATAAAGTCAAAATACCTCAGCAGTTTTCTGCACCTGCGTAGATGTTTCTTTTAAGTTGCATGAAATTCCGTGATTGTAAATTTACATTAATGATGTTATGACTCTACAATATACTTAACGGGCTAAATTCTATTTCCAACGGACAGATGGGATTGTCTATAGAATTTCCATAGTGATTCAAAACATCCTCCGTCACCCCGAGGTGAAGGTGCAGAGCAAGGTGGCCGAATGGGTAAGTGAGCTCGTGCAGTGTCTGCGCTGCTTTCCTGCTGCTGCCCGGTGGGAATGTGGGGACGCCCCTCCCGTCCGGCTCCCTGGGCGCCCAGAGCTGGGCCCCCGCTGCTCCCGGGGGCGCCGGGCTCGCGCAGACGGGCCGGTTGACAAGGGACCAGAGCGGAGCCTTATGCTAACAAGCCCATGCGCGCTGCTGGGTATCTTCATCTGCTATTACACACACACATTTTCAGCCCTGTTTTTAAAGTTATATTTCTTATTTTATTCCTTGTTTGAGTATTTTTGAATCAAAACCCGAAAAGTTTAAAAAGATGTACAGCAGGCCCTCGAATAACGCCATTTCATTCGATGTGATTTCCTTATAACATTGACAAGATGCCATAGATACTTAATTCTTATTTACGTCAATTAGCCTGTGGTAAAAGGAGTCTTATTATGTATCATGTCGCTGAAAGTCACAGTAGCTATTGGTGACTTTAAGTGAGGACTTACTGTATCATGAAAACTTGCCACCCATCCTTGTAGCTTATCTGCCTGGAGGTGAGCCTGGAAATCACTGTAACTTTTTCTTGGGTTTTTCTAGAATTTGTGCATGTGAAAGAGAGTAAGCTTATTTTATACTTTTTACACATAAATTACACACCATTTTACATTGCACTTATTTTTGTTATTGCCAGATTTGCAACATTAGTACACAGAGACCTTCCTGTATCTTTTTTAAAATACTGTATAGGGTTCCATTATGTGGCTGTTGTTTATTTAAGACACCTGTTGATGGACATTTATATCAAAATTTATTTAACCTGTATTGATGAAATGTTAGTAATTTCCAATTTAAAAAAAACTTTAACATTGTTTTCTTTTTTCTTCTTCTTACAAATACAACACATGGATTTATTTTATTATTTTTCTTCCTCATAACAGTCTCAAAAACTTTATTTTTTCACAGATTTCCATTACTTATTTAATTTTTCCTATCGGTGCTGGACTATGGGACTTTGTACTCCTTGTTAGATATCATACTGTTGCAGTTCAAGCAGCTGTTGTGAATAAAGTCACTTGGGTATACATTCTGAAGTAAGAAAAGTGGGTTTCTTACCGGTGTCTAATAAATATGTCCCTTGGTGGCAAAAGAGTTAAACCATGCCTTGAGATGTACTGGCGACTATACTTTTTATACATATGACATATTTGAACGATAGAAAAACATAGTCTTATTTTTAAAGGCAACACCCTTTAAAACAAGTTGACCACAAGAAACAATAGTATGTAATTAACAATTCTATTCCAAAACTGGGGACAAAAGTGAAATTCTCTAATAGGAGTCAAAGAAAAACCGCTACTGTTGACTTTTTGGAGTGACCCCTTAACTTTAGTAATTAATTTAAATACTAGAAGATATTTAATTCCTAAATGGAGAGCGGTCTTTACAGAAAGAATGTATTATTGCATCCCGTTTTCTTTCCAGCATGGTTCTTTTTGTTTTTTTAAAGTCAGAATGTTTTCAAAAGATAAAACTCTTTCTTTTCATTCCCAAATAAACCACATCTAATGCTATGAATCTCAAAAATTACCAAGAACCTGCTTTAGAGAGAGATAATTTTACATTTATATTTATTTCATGCTTGCTTTTCAACATAGGATCATTCTCATCTGAAGCTAAACTTTACTGGACACTATCAGTTTAAGATGCAAGATACCAAAGCAGATACTTGATAACAGAAAACATAAGTGGTATCTGTTATTTATATTATTACTATTTACAATTTAAAAAGTTCTGTCAGAATTTCTTAGAATTTACATTTAATTTTAGAATGCTTGCAAGTAAAGCTCAATATTTATATGAATCATGACCTAAAAGCCCTTTGGAAGTGATATATAAATAAGAGAATTTCATGCCAGGAAGGAAATCCTGTTTTGTGGTTGTACTGGACAATGCACATGAACATTTATTGTTTGTGTGGAGAAGAATCCATCGCTTCATTAAAAAGCCTGCTGCTGAGACCTAAAAAGACTGATCAATAACCAAATAATAATTAACATAGTCCCCAATATGTTGAAGTCATTTTTGGTTAGTTTTATTTAAAGGTTTACATGGTTGACTTACAATTTTTCTTACTGCTAATATTTTTGTGAGATGATAATCGCTAGGAAAACATTATTGCACCTTGATGTGTGTTCAGTGAAGACTCTGGAGGTGTTAATGTGCTTATCTTCCCTACGCACCCTCTTACAGCTAAGTTCGCAGTGTTATGACTAACTTGGCGACCCATTCTAATATGAGCCAGAGAGGAAAGTACAGTGTTTACAGACTGACCGACTTGAGTTCCAGTCTGGGACCTGCTCATTCTAGTTGGGTAACCTTGGGCAAGCTGTTCCATCTCTGTGAAGCCCAATTCTTTACTTAAAAGACAGCAGGGGCAGATAATACCTATCTCATTAGTTGTTTTGGGATCAAAAGAAATAACATTTGTAAAATTCTTGGCATGCAATGATCCAGGAACTCTTATCTTTACCTTTCTTTCACTCCTTTGCTCTCTGGGATTTTCCCAGGGTCTTATTCTGATAACAACTTATCTTTTGGGAGGGAAGAAACTTGATTCAGATTTTTTTTAAAAAAAGTATTACCAAAACTCACCCTTTTCCATTGTATTTTTCAGCTCAATTCAACCTTCCAAAATTGGAACTACACTGTTTATGTGGTTAATATCAGGTAAATGACAAGGATGAATTATTTGAGAAATAAAAAGTAGTATCTAATTTTATACTACTCTATCTTTCTCTGATTATACCTACACACACAAACACACTCATACACACGTGTGCCATTTTCATAACCTTTCTAAATCAACCCTATATTATGTCGTTTCTTTGCACGAAAGCTTCAGTGTTGCAGCAATAGTTTTAAAAAATATTTTGATCTTGGATCCTAAATCATTTTATTTTTAAATTTAGCCTGTATTCCCAAAATATGTTTGTGATTTTAAATAAATTTTATATATATATGTGTGCATGTATTACTTAACGAATATATTGTATGTTATGATGTACCACAAATTAAAAGAGGATAATGAAATATAAGTAGAAGTTCTGTTAGTTTCTTCTCATACCCCAGGGGGCCATCTAGAGTGCCCCCTGGGTTGCATGCACCCTAGTTCGAGGACAATTTTTTACAAGAATAGGACATCTACAGTGTGATTGCAACCTAGCTTTTCAAAATTATCTGTCACTATTCTATTTAAAAACTTCACTAAATCCCAAACACATAGTAGCATCCATATATGCTCCTCTGCCCCTTGTTTTCACAGTTTTATACTAAAATTGGCTATCTAAAATGTATTTTGTAGACCCTAAGCATATATTCTGTATACCCAAGAGCTATAATAGCACAGAGAAAGGGATCAGCTGGTCACATGGGTTCAGGAGGTACATTATTAAACAAACTGAAGCAGCTTTCTATATATCAGAACATCTCAGATGCTTAGCATACTAAAATGCATTGTGAATCGTGAAAAGAGCAAGGAAACGTAGTTGCCAAGCTTACTTGACTTGCAGCTAGTTTGTCTCGTGCATGTGAAAAAACTAGAACCTCAGAACACACATTTGGAAATACTGGCTTATTTCCACCTCCACAAATTTTGTTGTTGGTGTCATGGCAGATAGGTTGATAATGAATCTACGTATTTTTATTTACAGTTTTCACCTGAACACGGGAGAGGACAAGATTAAAGTCAAGAGAAGCATTGGAACTGATCAAAGGTAACACTGAGAAAGTCTTAGAGAAAGCATAACACCCTTTCTCTTGCCCCTGTTTTGACTCTCTGGTAGAGAAATTAAAACAGTGAGATAGGAGAGAAACATGTTAATCACATAGCGCACTTAGGTCATTTTTTTTATCACTAATGCACACTAATTTTTTTTTTTTCTTATAGCTAAAAAGTAATAGAGCAGACTAGATACAAATGTACTTCTGATGAAAAATAATTCAGAAGTAGGACATATAAAATGAATGAATTATTAGTTTTAGTACTTTCAGCTAATTTACAATAACCAATTCCAATTAGCTCTCATCTCCAAGAGACCTTCAAAGAAAAATAAAATCGTTGTAGTTTTTGAAGTAAGATATTTATGCATGATAGCATATAATGGTATTGGTAATAGGTGCAACAAATATTTTCTGCATTTAAAGCCATCAGTTAATTTTCTGAAGTTTCCATTTTAAACCTATATCAGGATCGTGACTCAAGCAGGCAGATAACTTAATGGATATGTCCACCATATATAATCAGTTGGCACATGAAAGCCAGCTATTCGGAGTGCCGTATACTGAAAAACATCCTAAACTCCTACATGTGTTTATGTTGCTATATTACGTCTCCATAGAATTAAATAAAATTACTAGAAGAACAGAAGTTTACATAAGTCTTGCTCAGTTTCAATGGACTGAATTTAAATCATGGATTTACAACCATAATGATGCAATGGACTTCTTTTCAGTTGATACATTCTCATTATCAGAAGATAAAAATAAAATGTTATGAGAGTTAACCAGGGAGTTTTCTTCTTTGTTCTTTTTCTGTTCAACATTATAAAAAAAATGTCTTTAAAGTTATATTTGAAGCTCATCATTCTGTATATAGTCAACAGACTGGAGTGAGCCATCTGATTAAGGAAAGTTGTGGGGTTTCTGGTCATTATTCTTTTTCCTTTATGATCTGAGGAATAATGTATTTCAAAACTATATTCTTTGTTTTTTTTAATATGTTTTTATTGATTTTAGAGAGAGAGGAAGGAAGAGGGAGAGAGAGATAGAAGCATCAATGATGAGAGTCATTGACCAGCTGCCTCCTGCACGCCCCCTACTGGGGACTGAGCCCGCAACCTGGGCATGTGCTCTGAGCAGGAATCGAACCAGTGACCTCTTGGTTCATGGGTTGACACTCCGCCACGGACTCACACCAGCTGGGCAATACTGTATTCTTGATGGACGTTTCTCCTCTATTTAGCCAAATAATGTCTTCTCCAAGCCTTACTGCTAGATCATATGGAGCCTTGAATAATGATTCCAGTGGTGACCAGCATCCCTTGCTGACCTGGCACCTGGGGCAGCCCTAGCTGGGGGTATCACCAGTGGCAGACTCTCCTAGGAGGTCAGCATTGCCCTTTTTAGTTTACTTACTGTGATTCTTCCACTACCTGACAGTGCTGCAGCCAGCCAACAGCAGTCTGTGTCAGCACCTCAGAAACTCTTGCTTGAAAGACATTTAAATTCATGGAGTCTTGGTTTCCTGTCTCTCAAACCTCTGGGTAACTTCGCAGAAAAGTATAGAGAGAGTAAACTAAGACGATGTAGATAGGAAAATCCACACAATTAGTTTTTCTTTTTTGTGAATTCTTGATGTCGTTTGAAAATTTATTCTCATAGTTTTTCCTGCCCTCTCTTTTTTTCCCTACTTTCTAATGCTCTCGATAAACCTTTATAGTCTCATAGTTTCTCTTAAAACCATAGTCTACTAGTTTTACACATCCTCTTTTTTCCCAAACTTTCCTTTCAGTTCAATTGTAACACTTAACACAGACCATAGCTTCAGATAAGGTTATCGCACTCCATCGCCTAGACAGACAGGAAACCAAAGCCACAGAGGCTGGTTCATTCACATAAAGAACGATTGATGGCAGCGACAGATAGAGCTTGACTTTGCAGCACGATAAAGTAGTTTTAGTTTTCAGGATGAGAGAGGAAAACAATCCAGGTGAGACCCGTGACAATATGTGCTCATTCTTGGATTGCTGAATGGGGTGTTCAACATCGTCCACAACACACTGTGCTAATTATGTTCTCAGCGTTCAAGAGAAGTAGAAGGTCACAGCCCCAACTGGAGGTTCTCAGTAACCGGAGTGGCAAAGCTTACTTTTCAATGATAATTTAATCAATGGTTGCTTTTTCATAGGCCATGTTAAAAATTATTATCCCAGTTCACCATTTACACTCGCACCTATGTTTGTCTTATCTTGAAATAAGACTTATATATGAACATTAAACAGCAGATCATTTTGGAGAAAGATAGCCCTTCAAAGTGAATTATGAAAACAGTAGAGCATTTTGTCCTTGAGATTAGTGTAGATATTTAGGGGAAAAATAGAACGATTTTTTATTTTTTAATTTTACCTAACCTTCAATAGCAAATATTTCACGTAACTCTTCCTTTTCTTTTTAGCTCCACAAAAATGTTAATACTCTGACTAGTTCATTTTTATCGATGCCCCAGAATTTCGTAAATAAAACATGCAGTGCTACTCCACTGAGTGCTTTATGGTTATTTTAAAAACAATGACTTTGGCACATGGACAATAACTGGTATTGATAATGTAATGACTTACATCATATTACTCATTTCTCCACAGAATATGAAGATGAAAGTTCTGTTGTAGAGCCAGAGCTTTCACATATAGGGAAACTATTTCTCCTCTACCTGACAAAATAACATGATTTAATTTTACCTCAGTGTTGAATTGTTTTGATTTCTGCTATTGATTATGGGTGCTATTACAGTTCAACCGAAAATTATATTACTTCAAATTGTAGAGCCAAAAGCTTAGATACGGGTTTTAGGATACATCTCTGCATCCCAGAGAATATTTTTCAAAAAATATTCAAAGTATATTTTGAGTAGTACTTTAATTTTTCACCATGCAAAGCACTTGCAAATGTTTCATTGAGATAGAAAATAATTTATCACAATTCTGGAGAAATTGTAACACATTTGTAAACAATAGCACTAAATAATTTCAAAAGTCAAGTGATCAGTTTAGTCAGATTAGTTGAAATTTAATTTTTCTAACAAACTTTATTTCTAGCTATAAGGAAACTGTAGAATTAGCCATAAATATGTCCCTTTCTTGCATGTATGCTATAAAAATGTTTCTTAAAAGAAATGGGGTATTGAAAAATAAAATATAAAAAAATCAGTTTAAATGATAAAAAAGAAGTAGGGTGATGTGATATATGATAGAATTATGCATGCAATATCCTATAAAATCTGTTTACATTGATATATTTTCAACATTATCATTTATGCAACAACAGAAGCCTGTGTGTGCCTTGGTATATCTTTTTAGTGTCAACATTTTATGGTCATCCCTCTTACTATTATATCCAAATGTTCTATTTTTCTACCAAAAAAACAACCAACCCAACAACAGTTCTATCTACAATATTTCCCCAGGTTGGCGATTTGGGCGCTTCTAGTTTACAATGCTACCAACAATCTCAATTTAGAAGGAAGAGCCATTCGGCAGAAGCTCTTAAAAAATAATGAGACCCTGGATGAGGGCCTGAGGCTAGATACAGTGAGTGTGAGGCAAATAGGTAAGTGCCTTTAATTTTTTTATAGTATGTATTTTACATGGCTATATATTCAGGTTTAATTGAAGCAAAAGAAATATTCTTCCTATTGTGGTGTTTGCTCATTTAAAGCTATTTTTTCTGATGATTAAATTTATCATAGCAGTGATATTATAACAAATGGTTGACGTGTTTAGCGTACAAGATATCAACTCGATGCCTCTCTATCTAAGGGAATGAAAGAGGCAGGGGAGAGTTTATACTCTTTTAGGGATGCATTATGAAAATACTAAGAGCATGAGCAAAATGCTAGGATAGCCTTGGCCAGAATTCGCTTCCACTTTAGGACTAAAGAGAGTATGTATATATACGTATGGAAACACTAATGAAGTAAACCTCATAAAAGGTCATTTCTTTCCTTCTCTTACGTTTTCTGTCTTTACTAGTGACACCACTGTCTTTGCAGGAGTAGGCCGAAATCAGGGAGTTATCCAGGACCTAGACTTAGCTCTTACCTAGAGACCGTCCTGAGCTCCCGCCGCACGCGGTTCTGCTTGCCCTGCCCAACCGGCCGCGCTCTCGGATGCCTCCTCTCTTGGGCGTTGCTCACGCTGCTCTTCCCTGCCCTCACCGTCCGCCTGTTCATCCCCTACATGGTGTTAAGGGCAGCCCAGAGTCACCTCGTCTATAAAGCCTTTTCTGGCGTCACCCGTGTGTAGATAGATACCAGCGCCTCTGAGCCACCCTTCATGCTGCCCAGCTACCCAGGGCACTGTAGACATTAGGAGACCATAATATGTAACTGGACTTATGTGTGTTCATATATATATTTTCTCTAAACAGAAATTGCCTCTGGCTTGAGAACACACCTTATTTTTCTTTCCTTTTCCACCTCCCTACCCCCAGCACCCAACACATTCCCCAGCACTTAAATACTTAAATAAATGAATGAGGCTTGATGGGAATATTATAAAAAAGCAAATGATCAAAACTATGGGAAACAGAAAGTAAAGTTGCGGGGGAAGAGCAAGAGAGAGACACCGATTTGTTGTTCCACTTAGTGATGCATTCATTGGTTGCTGCTTGGTTGTGCCCACACCGGGGCTCAAGCCCGCAGCCTTGGCTCTAACCACCTGCGCTCCCGGCCAGCGCCTATTGCTCTGTTACCCCACGGTTACAGCTGCGTTACGATTCGGTACCTTGGTAGAGATCAGAAGGAAACTGTGGCACTGGGCCTGCACATACGCAGCAGGTTAAAGCGGGGGAACTAGAACTCCTCAGCCTCGAAGACCATGGTTATGCCCGAGGCCAGGATCACGGGGTAAGAAAGAAGCAGGCACCCCCTGCTGTGGGCCACCCCTCGCTAATGTGCCACCTTACACGGCCACAGAGAGTCAGAGACGGGGGATTACAGCTCGTGACCCTCCTCCTCAGCGGTTTCCGAGCCTCTGTGGGAACATGCTCGCTTATTGACCAGCAGGGCTC